TGATCATATTCATCTCCTTGCCTCAGCTCTTTCCAGATCCTCCCCCACCTCTCTACTTACTTGACTTCTTGTGTTCTCTCTTAAAACCCACTGAGCCCAGTTTCGTGTTGTCGGACTGCTCCTAGGTGCGGAGCCTGCCCTGAAGTGTGGTTGATATACCAGGTGTCACACCACTGAAGCCACTGACTTTTCCTCTTCCAGTGATAATCAGATACTAATAGCTCCTCCACTAGGGGTGGCTTCATGCCTATTTCCTCCACTAGGGGTGGCTTCATGCCTGCCTCCCCTCCGTCATGCTAGGATTTTATCTGGTTTGAGTTTTTGCAGGTCTTGTGTATAATGCTGTAAATGATGTGAGTTCCTGTGTGCATCTGCCCTGTGGGGGAACTTCCTGTCCTTGAAGTCTGGCTCTTAAAATTTCTCTGTCCCAAACCTTAAGGGAAGAGGTGTGGTACAGGCATCCCATTAGGGCTGAGCACCTCAAAGTCTCTTCTTATTCTTTGCACATTGACCAATTGTGAGTCTCGGTGTTAATCGCTACCTACTGCAAGAAGTTTCTCTGATGAGAGTTGAGCAATGCACTGATCTGTGAGTTTAGCAATAAGTCATTAGGAGCCAGTTTTATTGCTCTGTCAATTTAGCAAAATAATAGTAGTGGATTTTACCCTCAAACTCATGACTTATCTACTGTGGCTGTTTCTTAAGACAGGAATATTATGTTGCCCTAGGAAAATCACAGGGCAGGGATGACAGCTGGCAGCAAGCTCTTGCGCAAGGTAGGACCAATAACCAGGGCATATACGCCTTGATCACCCTCAAGTGGATATTGAGGGAAAAGGAACTTATTGGGAGAACTGACTAGTTTAACTCAGAAACATAGTTTGGGCCCTTGGGAAAGCATATAACCTGGAGAGCCCACCTCTGTAGGGAGCATTTCTCTCTTTGTGCCTTCCCTCAGTTGCTAGCTCCTTGTTCTGATCACCACCATCTTTCTGCATCCTGTGACTATGTCCTGACCCAACTTTTGATTTTTACAGTTTTTTTTTTTCCAGCTGGAGCGCTTCCTGTGCTTTGGCCACAATGTCAATACTTCATAATGCTTTGTGAATCCATTTATAGAAGTTCATGAATAGGCAGAATTCACTGTGGCATTGGAAGTCAGAAAATAATTATTTGGGTTGGGAAATGGGCCATGAAATGTATTATTGGAACTGTCTGGGTTATGGAAGTGTGTTGTTTTGTGTAGCGCTTATAAAGAAATATATAACTGTCAGAACTCAAACACATTAAGATCTGTATGTTTTTATTTAATTTAAAAAACAAGGAGAGATGGCTCGGCACTTAAGAGCATGTACTGTTCTTCTAGAGGATCCAGGTTGGATTCCCAGCACCTACATTACAACTACCTTTGTAATTCTAGCTCCAGAGAATCCAATGCCTCTGGCCTCTCAGAGTTCCTGCATGCATGTGCACGTAGAGACACAGAGACACATAATTAAAAATAAAGCAAATCTTTAAAAAACATGCTAATTTGTTAGCATAGAGTTAGCATATAGAGTTAGATTTCTATCATTATTAAAGAGTCTGTATCAGGAGTATATGCTGACATGTTTATGAGGAAATGGAGCATTACTGTGAAAACAGTAACTGGATTTAAAAGAAAGATTTACCAAGATTTGATAATCAGAGCAAAGTGACAACTTCTTGAGAGCTTGTTAGTTGTTATTGGTTGTTTTTGCTTCTGTTTGACATTGTACATAATAAAAACTTCTACATATGAACTTTATTATTTTTGTATTTCCACAGTTTTGTTTATACTAATTATATTGCTTTACCTGTTATGTTTTAGGCAGTTCTGCCATCACAATGTGAATTATTTAAAATCAGAAATTTAATAATTTGACACACCACTTAACATGTAGCAAACAGTTCAATGAAAGAGTGAAATGCATGTCTGCATGGTTGCAGAGTAGATCCAGATGTTTACCTGGAGGTGACTCCTTTAGGCACCAGATTTTAAAGCCTTGGTAAAGAGCAAAAATAAAAGTTAGGTGTGGTGAGAGCCTAAAGTCAAAGTATTTGGAAATGACCTAATACTGTTGAACCAAGGCTCCAGACCACACGGATCTGTCTGCAGTGGGCCTAAGGTTCTCTACTTGCCCTGTCTCCTCCACATAGGAGGTTCCTGGATATTTCTTATGCCCCCACCCCTCCTCCTCCTTCTCCACCCCCCCACCGGCTTCTTCTTCCCCTTTCATCCCTCCCCAATTGCTCGCTCCATGCTTGCTCAACTATCCACACTTCAGTTCCTGTCTCTGCTGCTGCTGTTTCTTCTGCCCAGAATGCCCTTCCCATTGTTTTACTTCTGTTAGAAAAGCAATCTCATTCTTTCATTTTTCTCCCACTCATTTGGAAACACAAAAGCTTGCTTTTGCTAGTAGAGAAATCAAGAAGCACAGGTCTGAAAACTCACAATGGGTCTGATTAGGAGTTTAGTTGTATGGGATCAGTTTTGGTCCAGGGATGCGTTTACGGTGACAGTTTGTTTTTGTTTTTAATTTAGTTTATATTTTTTCAAAGCTAAGTCAGCTAGGTAACAAGAAAATATCAAACAGCCCTATACCATTCTCCTGTACCATCTCAGGGTCCTCGAAGTCATCATGGTTGCTGATTCCTAGAATGTACTTCCCAAACCATGCTAGTTGTTGGTTTTTACTTCATTACAGGCAGGCATTGTTCCCATTGGAAATAAGGATTTAGCTCTTGTGTTTTACAGCCCACCCCTCAGCATTAGCTTCACTCTCAACCTGAATTCACTGGACTACCCATCAGTTTGAGCAGTAGGTTGGCTGTGGTAGTGTTGGTTCTCACATTGCTGTGGGAGGAACTGCTCCTCCTGAGGCTGCTGCTGGGCTGCAAGCATTGCCCTTTGCCACACAGCCGTTCTCACCAGGACTCGTCCTGTTCCTCCTCTGCTCTCAGGGTGCTGTGTATATTTCAGCAATGGGATCCCGGACTTTCCTCCATTATGCAAGTTGTGTTTTAAATGTGCAGATGTAGCATTTGTCTGCTGTAACACTGAGGAGATGTCCAGGGTTCCTGACCTGATGGACCCCAAGCTGGTGATGGACTCCTGCTGGTGTTCTTGGAACCAATTTGTTCTTGTGGAGTTCCCTCAGCTCCTTCCCCTTAGCTTCACTTCTGATCAGCCTCCCACCCTTCTGCTTCACCCCCACTTCTGTGGAGGTGGTCACCCAACACCTTCCTCTTATGGATTGGGCTTTTGGGGTCAAATTGAATAAGTTTTTGTTTAGCTCTCAATTCCGAAGACTTTCTCCTATCTTTTCTCTAAAATTTTACAGTTTTACACTTTATATTTAAAGACAGTGAACCATTATATAAGCTGTGAGACTTGTTGATGTTCTACTCTTTGCTTATGGATGGCAAATTGTTTGAGTATCAGATCTGAAAAGGTATTCCCTGTTCTGCTGGTTGCTAAATGTCACTTGAAGTGCAATTGTAGCTTAGTGGTAACACACTTGTCTCTATATACAAGGCCCTGGGTTTGACATCTCCCACCCCTACTGCCCACAGGAACTAAATTGTAGGGACCATTACTGGACTTTCTCTGTCTGTCCTCTTAGCAACTGTATGCCTCTTGTTTCCGTAGCTCGAGAGCAAATCTGTTTGTTTGAGACAGAGTCTCTCGCTGTAGCCTTGGGTTATCTTAAACTTTGTAGCCAAGGCTGGCCCTGAACTTCTGATCCTTCTACCTCCATCCACCCAGTTCTGGAATTATAGGTGTGTGTGCTACTGCCCCCAGCTATCAATACGATTCTTTCACATTTCCCCAGAATGTTTTAAAATATTCATAGCTGGAGAGCTTTTCTCCAGGTCCCACCAAGCCCTGGCAGTCCGACAGCCCACTTATAAAAAAAACATACAGACGCTTATATTATTTAAACTGTTTGGCCTAATGGCTCAGGCTTCTGGCTATCTAGTTCTTACATCTTAAATTAATCCATTTCTATAAATTTATACCTTGCCACGTGGCTCGTGGCTTACTGGCGTCTTCACATGCTGCTTGTCATGGCGGCGGCTGGCAGTGTCCCCTCCCACCTTCCTGTTCTCTCAATTCTCCTCTGTTAGTCCCACCTATACTTCCTACTTCCTGCCTGGCCACTGGCCAATCAGTGTTTTATTTATTGACCAATCAGAGCATTTGACATACAGACCATCCCACAGCAATATTCTAGTCCACATAGTGTGTTAGTTTCTTTTCTCATCAGTGTGGCAAAGTGCCCAGTAAAAGCAGCTTAAGACAGGATTTGGCTCACAGGTTAAGAACAGTTACAGTGGGCGTGGAAGGGAAGGCATAGTGGTAGGAGTATGAGGCAGCTGGTCACATTGTGTGTGCAGGCAGGAGCAAAGGGAGACAGGAAGTGGGGGCAGTTATAAATACTCAAGGCCCATCCCTAGTGACCTGCTTTCTCTAGCAGGGCCCCACAGCCTTACAGAGCAGCACCTCCAGCTGGGAGCTAAAGCCTGTGGGGACATTTTACATGCAAACCACAACATATCACCTTTTGTTTACATTTTGGAATAATGTGGAATTTTGATAGGAGGTACGTTAAACCTGTATTTCTATTTTGGGAGAACTGACATCTTTTCTGTTTGTGATCTTCCAATAGATGAACATGGTCTGCATCCCCAT